CTGATCTAATCGGAGCACCTGTTTCCACATGAACTGGACTTTAAGTTTCTTCCTACTACTGTAGTCATGTCTTCATGAAGGACAGGTTTGTGGAGTGCAGAGCAAATGCTGAGGCTCTGCAGCTTCGCTTTTTCTGGATTAAAGCTCTGACTATGAACAACTTCTAAAAATCCAAAGTGAAGGGAAAAACAATGAATAAATGTCAGAAATGTCAAAAAGAGGGATGACATTATTTTTCTAACCCATGGGGGGAAAAAAAAAAAAAAAAAAAAAAAAAAAAAAACATCCCCGCTGTAATATTTCCGTCGGCAAAAAGACTCAACCAATAATGGAGTCTAGTATTCCATATAAGGTATAATATTCCAGACATGATTTTTTAGTTTCATGGTCTCCCAGAATGTATTGGTTTAACTTCAATATTCAGAAATTGTAGCATTTTAAGAAAATTAAAGAAAGATACATGATGTGAAGCAGAACGAGGGATACATTTGATGGAAACCACTCCCTTTGGTCTAACAAAATTAATCTGGAACAGATCTCTGAACCGTCTATGAGCTCTGACAAGCGGCACAACATCTCTGTTGGTGCATTTGGGGCACGGATGAGCCTCTTGGAGGGGGGTTATATGTGCACAGTCATGGTGCGCAGCTGGTGCCCAGTGCTTGTTATATAGCCCCCCCCCCCAAGCTCCAGGCCTTCCGTTTGACTGACTGATGTGGTTCAAGCCTCATCTTCCCTGCAGGTCATGCTCACTTGTTGATGTGGCATTCAAGGAGGAAATCAGAGTTTGACAGGATTGAGTGGGAGGCCTCATGGCTCCATCTATGTGGGACCACGCCCCTCTGCTACAGTTCTTTTCCACATGTTCATACGTGGGAGGGAGAGTTAGTAAGATGTGAAGGAAGTGGGATTCTGACAGATAAAGGGGGGGGGCAGGGCAGGTAAGACTATGTAAAGAGCCTACTCAGCGTATCACAGCCATTGTCACAAGCTGAATCCATCACTGGAGAGCTTATTGCCATGACAACCGCTTCCACAGCATGATGAGAAGCAGGCAGACTGCAAGAGCCCTGATAACAGGGGAAAGCAGGCTTTTTTTGTCTGTTAATGGGTGGATTTAAGATATTAAAAGCTGAATGAATGCGCATCTGCAGAACATTCTCCACACATATACTTAACACTGGAATGTTGTATTGTTTGGCAGACTTTGTGCCTACATGATGCTTCTCAAAAAATGTATTTAAAAAAAAAGGCTCAAGTTTTAAACATGCTTTCAAAGTACACTAAAAGAGGCAGAAATCTGTTGAAGATCTTTGTTCCCTCCTCTATTTCAAATACTTCACATGCACCAACCAGATGATAAAACAAAACAAGAAATAACACTATTTAGGAACAAATCAGATGCACACATTAGAGACCAGTGATAAGCATCCCTGCAGACACCTTCATCAATGAGGGATGAATACAAAATGGCTACTGGCAATTTTCAATAAGTGGCCTTTAGCAGCAGGAAGAGCAAATTGTGCACTTTTTTTTTCTTTTAAAGAGAGTAATTAGTGCCAATCAGTGAAAAGAAAAAAAAATCCCAATTTGTTCCAGGATTGAAACCCTGAATCTAGTGGCCCCACCCTTCCCTCTATTGAGCTGATTGAGCTAAAAAGCGCCGGCATATGAGAGGAAAACGGCAATGATTGTGTGCTCGACTCTGAGAGAAAAAGAAAGGGAGGGCTGGCAGTCAGCAGAGTCCACACAACACCGAGCAAAAAGAGGAACACCATGCATGATGAGTGGCCATTTTAGGGATGCAAGTTAGCACATCCTTGGACATTTAAAATTTTTTTTATCGATTGCGACATCATCTTCTGAAACAAAACATATAACCATGACGGCCGTCAAACGCCATGGAATGTATAAAAGTTACCAAACATGACATGTTTTATTTTAACCAAAGACTCGCATTGATGGTGAAGCTCTCCCACCCGCTGCAGGATGTGGGATCCGACAGACCGGTCCACACCAGCTGGGCTCTCTTTGTGCCTGGGATGTGGTCTCCTAGCAACCAAACGTGAAGAAGAAAAAAAAAAAAAGGAGAAGGAGGATCGGCGCATAGAGTTAGGGAGGGGCGAGCACTGCATCAATTTGAGCTTTCCACCATATCACCTTCACCACACAGCAGCTGCAGTGTGCCTCTGCAGACAAAAGGCACCCAGATAACCCGCCACAAAAATTCCCTCACATTTCTACCTGCAGCGACGACAGATCCTGAAATCAAGCCGGACATCAGCTGGGACCGATTCTGATGAATATCAATACTCTGACTTCATAATCAATATGCTTAATTCAGTGTGGCATCACACCATCAAAAATGCATGACAAAAATTTAGCATGAAATGACAGAAAGTAATTAGAATCATTAGGAAAGCCAGAGCACACCCCTGGGAGAGAACATTAACATCAAATCCCTCCCATCTATCATTTTTAAAACACCTCCCCTCCTCCTGAACACATGTTTCTGGCCTCTTTTCAAAAGGAAGGAGGAAAAAGACGGCAGCACAACGCTGAAAACATAATCTAAGCTTTATTCAAAGCTGCAGAAGATCATGTAGCCACATCAGAGGAACAGATGTCCACCTCGTCAGCTGGAGTAATTCACAGTAGTAGAAAAACAACTGATTCATCAAGTTAATTACCACACAGGGCTTTGTTTCTAAACTAAAGAATCAATGAAATAGATATTCTTTTGCTGTGATTTATTTTCCCTTAAAAACAAACTCATACTTTCACTCTTAATTTCTGTCCTCGTATTCACTATAGTTAACACTTTCTCAAATCCCAAAAAGGACTCTCTGCAGCCTTCCAGGTGCGTCCCACTGCACTGCAAAAACTGATCTAAAAATGAACATATTTACCCTTAATTTGAGCAGGTAAATAATATGATCTTATCATAAGATTTGCCAATAAAATTAGCATTTTTGCCCTTCAATCAAGATAATTAGACATATGACACCCTATGAAACACCATAATAAACTCCAACCAGTGTCCTAGTCAGCCTGTTCTGGTCTAACAGAAATATATAACGTTTTATACGTCTCTTATGTCTCGCCAAGCGGTTGGAATAACAACATGTCAAACACAGTCCTTGAGTAATGAGGTGTGAATCTGACCAGCCAAGTGGGGTTTATTTCCTAAACGAAACCAAAAACGCTGCGTCTCTTTGCAAGAGGAAAGGAGCCTGCAGTCTGAGCCAAAAGGGATGCATTTTTTTAAGCTGAAAATTTACACACAAACCCAAGTTTGTATTTCTATCTATAATCAAGACTTTACATTGACTTACATTTATTTAGGTCACTGCATTTATGCGTAGCCCGGACAAATAACCATTAACAGAATATACCTAACTCTAACCTTAACCTAAAGATAATTCACATTCATTTTAACGCTAAACTAGGGCTGCATCTAAAGATTGTTTTGCAAATTGATTAATCTGTTGATTATTTTTTCGATTAATTTAACAATAAACACAAAGCCAAAGGTTCCTTAAAGAAGACTTTTTACGAAATTAAACCAGGTGAAACTAAACTTTTCTGCTTGAGGAGTTTTGGATAGAGCATATTGAGAGAAGAATTTTTTTTTAACTTAAATACAAAATGTTCAAATTGCAATTTGCAATTTTATTACTAAATTAGTTGACGATTTTTCCAAAGATCGAATAATCGAATTAATACAATGAATTACTTCAGCCAGACTCTAAACTGACTCTCTGCAGTAAAAAAGGGGTTATGCCACATTAGGACCGGCCTTTTGTTCCCGTAAGGTCTGTTGGTCCTCAGCTGGTTAGTTAATATACCAAAAAAAGGTCCTAAATAGGCAACATAAACCAGTACACACACACAAATTTGTTTCCCTATCTTTGCAGGGCCTTTCCATTAACTTCCATTAATTTCTATAGCCTAACCGTGAACCTTGCCTTAAACTCCATTCACACCTTAGTCCTAAACATGACCTCTGACCCACAAACATCAATTCCCTGCATGAGGTCCAGCCATCAAGTCCCACAAGGAGCAGTGGGTCCCCACAATGTGCTATTTTTCCAGAAAATGGGCTCCATACGTGATAGCCAGAATTTGAAACAGTTGTTTTAAATCCTGACCCATCTCTTTGATATTTAGATTCATTTCAGACTTTAATTTACCAAAAATAAGGAAAACATGTTCCATTTTTTCCACTTTAAAATTTTACTCTACTCTGTCACATAAAACACCCAAGAGTTTATGATTGATCTGAGAAAAAGCTCAAAGGGGTATGAGCACTTTTGTATGGCCCTATACCTGTAAAAGGTCTGTCTAGACTCCCTCATTATTTAAGATCAATTTGTACACATTCATAAAATAATTGGACAATATGATGAGAGAAGAGAATGCAGGGTTTGGTCCTTTGTATCCTGATGCAGTGGGAAGAAGACAAAACATCACAGGATTCCCATTGACAGAAAATGTTACTCTACAACTAAGGCATTTGGAAGGCCTAATAATGGCCTCAACCACAAGACAGGAGAACAAACTGCTGGAAACCGCAAGTCAGAACAAAGGTTATAGACAAGGGAATCATTGGATACTAAGGCTGTTGTCCCTCTGCATTCTCATGGATTAACCACATCACTGTTGGCTATGAGCAAAGTCTGCCCAACCTATGCGATTCTTTAATCTCTACACCTGTGTGTGTGCATGGCCAAATGCACAGGAATGAAAGGTAAACTGTCCCCAGCTCTCACCACAAATTTCCATTTGTTTACATATTGCACTACAGCATCCTTATTCCGGTCAGGGGCCGTCGGAAGTCTAAACAAATGCAGTCTGACCAACACCTCTGCAGCTTCTCATATTTGAATTCTACAGGGCTGCAGTTATTTCCAGTTACATTTTGCCCTCCAATCAACTCAGATGCAGGAAAAGTATAAGAAAGCAAATTCCTTTCAGCCCCGACTACAAGTGTGTGCTACCTGCTTGCCGTCGAGCGTGTAGATCCTCTTGACCGCTCCACTCTCCAACTTGATGGCCTCCGTAATGTCGGTGAGCACCTGCTCGAAGGAGTGTGCCGTCTTCTTGTTGAGCAGGACGCGGACGGCTTTGCGAGGCTTTACGCCGCTGCGCATCACAGTGACGAGTTTGGGTCGGATAAAGTCTTTGCCCTCTCTGGACTCGCCGGCAGCCTTGGCAGCCAAAGACTGCATGTTCTTCTGGCTCGCAGAGGCCTTCACGTTCACAGACCAGTTGGGATTGACGTTCTTTGTGTAATCGACTTTCTTGTAGAAGTTCTCTGATGCACAAACATAGCTTTCCCCTGAGGAGAAGAAGGAGAAGAAGTGGGTTAGTGTGTTGAGCTATTTGACACCTGAGAGTCTCAGAGCGCCAAATCAACATCTGACCCTGTATGAGCGATACGGATCAGCTAGATAGATTACATCTATTCATTCTCATTCAATATAATAAACTGAATTTCCTTTCCTGTCATTCTTTCATCAACTGATGTTTGCATATATTCACCCATTCATTAGCACATTTAGCAACCATGACTTGACTGCTGATTGAAGCTGGGATCAAGAAATTTCTACTTAAATCTACTTTATGTTGTTACTTTTTAGGTTAAAATGATTGCCAGAAAAGATCATGGCTGTATCACATCAACAGATTGCATGGAGTATTGCCTGCTTGCTTTGATTTGGTAATTAATGTTTTATTTAGTTTGAATTGAGACTTGTGTAACTATTATTATTATTATTGTCATTCTATCATGGAAATCATGGAAGAAAAAGTATTATAGATCTAAGGAATCTGCCCCAACAAAAAAAAAAAAATCTGCAGGACATATCAGGGATCAGTTGGACAGTAGGGTGAGTATTGGCTTGGTGTTGCAATACGATATTATCACGATATTGCATATTGTGATGCATACTGCAGATTCCAGCAATCAAAATTGGTATCCATGTTTTTTGGAGTTTGAGTCAGTCCACGTCTTCCACTGTGACTGCCTCAACTACAAATATATAGCTGCACCGCACAGCAAATGGGCTCCACAGCTCTATCTGCCAGAGTGACGGTGCAGAGGCAGCCCATTTTTCCTCATAAGGTTAAAATGTTTTGTTTTTTAAATCGATATTAGGAATTAAAAGATCGGTATTATATTGGGCAGTCGAAAATCACAATATATCAACAAATGAATTTTTTCCCATAATTGGTATCGGCCTTTAAAAAAACTATTGGTTGATCTCTATAATGGTGAATCTCTATCTTTTAAGAAACATCAATGGTTAATGGAAATAAGATGTTTCATGTGTTTTGGAGAGGGAAGATCTGGAGAAGGAAACAGATTTTGAATAATCTTCCACATTGTCTTTATTTGTTAACAGCCTCCAATGCCCAACCCCTGTGGTAAAATGAGGGAAGCATTTTTTAAAAACACCCAGAATGTTCTAGATTAACTTTTCCACAAAATGTTTTATACATTCAATTAGGGAGAGAAAAAAAAACTTTTAATTAATGACCTATTGTCTTACCTTTGACGTCTAAATATAACAAAACGGAAACGGAAAATATGCCCCTCATCCCCGTTATCTTCATATGTCAGGTAAAACCACTCTTCTGAGATGAACGACGACTACCAAGGAAATAAAAAATAAATGCTCAAAATATCAGCAACTTAGTCCAACAGGGATCCGTTTGACAAACCAAAACAATAAATCTCATCGCTGGAGAGCTCCAGCAAATAGGATAAAGTCCCTCTAACAACCGTTAGAGCTTCCCTACATCTCAGTTAACCATTCAGGAGGACTGCCAAAATAAAAGCCTGTCATGAACTCATTGAAACACTAGGTTATAAATAAAAAAAGGGTTGAACAAAATGAATAATAATCTTTAGTTATTTTACCCAGAAGATCATCTGAAAAACCTTAAACAAATTTTGTTTAATCATTTCTAAGTTTAAGAGGGTTTTTTTCTTTCTAGTAGGAAATTGATCTAAGTTCTCTCTCTGGGGTTTTTCACCTCTCGTTAAATAACATTTCTACGTTTTTTTTTTTTCTTCTTACACACATCCTTCCCACAGGAACCGTAAAGCTTCTGCATATTCTTAAATGAAATATTTCTTTATAGATACACGATTTATTCCCAAAGTGGTTTAACTTCTGGTTTCCTTTACGAGTTGAAATAATATAATCTAGTAGAGCAAAAAGAAAAGGTTTCATTTCATACAATTTGATTATTCAAATAAATTGGAATGAATGGAAAAATCACCTCCATCTTTATCTCTAATTTCCTATTCTTTTAATGGTTTGGAAACATGTTGCTCTGAACCACAAATTTTTTTTTCCTTATACGAAGAGAATCCACCCAAATCTAAACAAATGTGCAGCACCTGGTACCTCAACGGCTTGAAATATCTCAATTTTCAGTGCGTGTTTTGGGTTTCCCAAATTCAGACTAACAAAACATTTCCCTGCTTCCTGCTTGGATCTCGTTTATAGAGCTCCTGCATGTTGAGTCACATTCCATTAAGACACATTTCTAAATTGATTTTGAAGTTTGACGTTTGGAAAAACTTGATTTTAGATTTTATTTAAAACTCAAGGCCCCGGCAAACATGACACCATTGCTGGCCTAAAGGTAACAAAGGTGACCCTTTCCCCTGCTTCTAACAGGTCAAGATACAAATAAAATGCTGCATTTTTTTTTTTTTTTGCTGACAGTTCCCCAACTAGATGTTTTCACTAACTAACTACTTTAAATGTGGACAAATTCTGAAACATATGACCTGATATTATAATACATTAGGTACCATTAAACATATGTTAATATTTCAGATAACTATCAGACACCACAGTGAAAGTCCACCTGGCTCGCTTCACCATGCAGTCAAATAGGGAAGCTTCTATCAGCTTACTAGTGTTACACCATATTCTGTGCCTCATGGATCCCAACATATGAGGGAGCGCAGAGTATAGTTCCTGCTGTCTGTTTAACTTAGAGCGAATCACAGCGCTGTATGTGATATAGAAAAATTACAACAATAGCATCAGCATCCAGGACATAGTATAAGGAGCTGCTCTGCCACTGAAGGGGGAAAGATCAACAGATTCTGACGAGATAACTAGGAGAAAAAAAGCTTTGTCTCAATCAAAGTACCTCCAATTGTAGCTCCTATCCCCTGTTCCAAGCTCCTGTCCCTTAACCTTCTGTAAGATCAACAGTTAGACCACCTTTGTTGGTAGAATAGGAACTATGGACCACTTTGCTGAATCTGAACAGCCTTTAGCCTTATGACTGTCGTGATGGAATGGACAAATACATGAATGAAGCTGTTCAGTATAGGACTACAGCCTTCATGAAAACTACAACAAAAAAAACAGTCTCAAAAGTGTAGTAAATAGCTAAAAATCTACTCTATAAAACTCAAACTCATCTAATTTAGCAGAAATAGCTATGCAACAGAAACATGTAACAATTAGACTGCTACTGCATAAAAAACTGAGATTAGGCAACTGCTGGGATGGTTAACGGTGTAAATAAGAGGGCCTCAAATTGCAAGAGGCATAGAGAAATGTAAAGTCATGTCTGCAGCTCACTAAGGCTGTGTAAGAGAGAGCAGGACTTTCTGCAGATAACAGAAAGGTTAAATGTATAGCAGCACAGTCGCTCTTTTTTTCCTTCGTCCATCATGCTAAATATTGTATTTGGAATCAAGTAGGTAAAGCTCAATAAGCTCAGGTTACAGATTGAGCAATGCTACAATCACATAAATTACTAATATATGTATATATAGGTGGTTTTTCTCACCTCTTAACATCACTTCTCTCCTGTTGCTATCTTGGTAACTAGGGGTGAGCATTTGTCATTTATTTTATTGTTATCGTAATAAATTATATCCACCATTGTTTCTAGATAGAAGAGCATCATAAAAGATAATAAAAATATGTATGTTCACATGCAGTAACTGTGACCAGTGTAGTGATAAAAAAAAAATCACTGTTCTTCATGTAACTGGTGTCACACAGACTGTTTTTAGTTGTTATACTTTTCTAGAGTAGCATTTGTGACAAGCATACCATTAATTTAAAAAAAATCTGCAAAAAAGTTATGTTTTTTTTTATCCTCAGTTCAAATGTTATAACAGTTCCTCACCCCTAATGGTATCTTTAAACAAAAAAAAGGCAGTAGAGGCGCAATGACAAAGAGAAAAAAAGAAAACCAGACGGAAACAATTAGGATAAATGTGGAGAAACTCAAGCTAAGACAAAGGGCACAAAACTAGATTACACTCTGCAGAGGAGGCTGAGTAATTAATTATATCCTGCAAAGAGGAAACACAATGAAATGTCCCCTCCAACCACACATGCAGCTCAAACAACGGAGACAATCACCTTATGTTGAGCAGGCTAAACCTCTGCGCCAAATTCCGCACTATTAGTCACATAAAGTAAAATACAGCCTCGGAAGAAGAAAGAATATCATCGTCTCTTCCCTAAAATTCTACAGAAACTTAATTTCTAGAGGTTAAAAAAAAGGAGGATGGTCAATGTTCTGACCAAGAGTAGTGTAATGAGGTGACTAGTTTAGGATAGAGACCCCTAAGAGCCTCACCGCACACAAAAAGTATTCACTGTATCAATTTAGGGCAAGAATGAAAGCAGCATTAACAGGAATTTTAAAGTAAGAGGAAATGGAGATAAATTATTGTCTGTTAATGTTATAGTTAATTTTTTGTACTCATCTAAGACCCAGAGTGCAGTCAGAAGTTTCATTCACAAGTCTCCAACATCTTTACATTTCCACTGATGTCAGAGACCACAAGAATGTAAGCCTTAACATTTGAAGGTATTTGGGGTTTCAAACAACTTGCAGTTTAGACCAGATGGAAAAGACCTCCTAAGTCATAATGACTGAGTGTTGTGTTTTACTGAAAAGGGAGACTTACTTTTGATTGTTGGAGGCATTTAAATTGATCTCAGTTTGTTTTTCCTAAATAGAAAACCAAAAATAATACATAGTTCAGCTTTGGTGTCTCTCCATATTTGGGAACCATGCTGTTTACAAAGGCTTAGATGGATCCAACTTGTTCTTCTTGCAAACTCAGCTTTTATGTATCAGAGCTTGATGTGCCACAATAACATAATAATAGGTTAGATTTCTGAAGTGAAAACAGGTGTCTTCAGCAGTGTCACACATCTAGAGGCCAACATTGTAGCCCCCCCCCCCAGTTCTTATGGATTTTTTTGTCGTGGCAAAAGATTCTTCCACGTAAGCGTTGGATCTTTGTAGCCCCTCCAGAGTAAGTCCTGACTATTCTATGCCCTTCGCTGTTTGATTAGAAGAGTTATATGGAGCCAAATCAGTGACAGATTGATATACAGTGTGAGTTAGAGCATTGAAAGATAAAAAACTGTACATTTAGACATGGAAAATGGAAATGCTTCCATTTCAAGCAATGAAAATCCTACATTGCCTCTAAAAAAAATTATAGAAGTGAAAAAGGAGCCTTCAGTTTGGCCCCGCCCCCCAAAACGAAAACAGTTTCAGCTTGCGGTCGCATTGTAGCCGCAGGAACTCTGCAGTGACACTGAAATCATCTCTCATTGAAAAAAGGCTGCAGCTAAAAATGTCAGTATAATCATAAACTTTTTTCTGTTTTAAAGGGAATTTTGAAATTTCAGTATCTGAATTTTCAATGTTTGCATTTTGAGTGTTTAAAGGTTCAATGGTTAGATTATTTATTGCCAAATTTCACATTCATTGTCAATCCAAGCTGTCACTGATTTAGCTCCATTGAGTTAGGAAGACAAAGTTATAATAGATATAGTTAAAATTCCTAATCACATGTAATAAGATGTTCCAACATATAACATGGCTGCATTCTTCAGTTATAGAATATATTTTCCAAATTTTACAACCAAAACATTTAAATACCACAAATGTCTTCTGGGTTTTGGCAAATATCCTTCTTACCTTCCTCCAGCTCGTCCAAAGATGTGATTTTTCGTGATCCGTCAATGGTGAAGATAAAGCGGACTCCCTGGGGCAAATTGATGTGGTCAGAGAGGGAGCGTGTGAGGTCAGCCAGGAGGGAATCGAAGGTGCGAAACCTGTCGTTGGCCACGGCGTACACAATGCCCTTGAAGTATCGGTCCCCGTTACGGTAGAAGCGCACCTTTTTGGCCTTCTTCTCATTGGTGAGTGCCTGTAAGGTGCGCGTACGGTAAAAACTGCAGTGGGCGCTGTGCGTGGGGCTGGGCAGTCCGTTCATCCGTCCGCTCCGTGGGTTACGGGACGTCTTGTCCCTCTCGTCAAAATGCCCAAAGTCCAGCTCCATGGTGGCTGTGGTGGTTGTGAAGGATGTGATGTTAGTGGATCAGTTCTGGAGACCCTGAAAAGATAACCGACAAAGCACAGTTATTAAAACCCTTTGGAAGGGATCTTCAGTCGATTGCCTTAAATAAATCTGCTTAAATAAGGGGTTCCTACTGACAGCAAAAAAAGGACTGGTTTTGCTTATTAATTGTCAAGTAAGAGCAAATTGGTTTCTTATAAAAAGCAGGGAATTACAGTCCTCCTGTAATTCAGCCTATAACCACTTCAAAGATCATGTGTTCAAAATGTTTACTGTTCATGTAAATAACCTTTAATGGATCTTAAGGCTTCATCTTACTGAAAATTAACCTGAAAAGAATCAATTATACATGTCAGCGAATGGTCAACAGTTACATTGTGTTACTTTAAAAGAATATAGAAAAAAAAATGTAAATGTGCACGTCAAACCTTGAGATATGATATGGGCTTACAATTGGGATTGTTTTAGTTTAGACCAAGCACCTTTCTGCAAACTGCAAGGCCTTGTAGTTTGGGAGTCTTGGAGCTGAAACTGCCCAGTCCTATTCTGTCCCCCTATCAACTGAGAACATTTAAGCATTTTATAAGCCAGCAAATGTAGAGTGGGACAATGACCAAAGACTGCTTTAAAGATTAATAGTGGGAGAAAACGTGGAGTAGGTGGATCAGGATGGTCCTTTTTTGTTTATTTCTTTTTTTTTTTACTTTAGCTACACCCGCATCTTTACAAATTTATTGCTGTCAGTATAAAAAAAGAACATAGGACATACTGTATAAATGACTTATTCAAATAAATCTCTCAGACACAAAGATCCTGTGATAGATATTATTAAAAGAAATCTAAAATTATCAGCGGAGGATTTTACATATATAGTGCCAAAGCAGGAAAATACACATTTTAATAAATTCCCTTATGTCGAGCATGATAAGTCGCTCTTCACTGTTGCATTTGCATAAATACCTACTGCTATATTTGGTAAATTATTACAGTAGGAACTTCAATTACATAGTAAATGAAGGTTTATGTGAACAAAGTGAAGTGATCCTTAAAGTTTACTGTACATCAGGTTAAGATTTGGCTGGAATGGTAGGAAGTCAGATTTGTTCCATTATTGTTGTAAAGGGAAATGTTTGTAAACCTTTTTTTTAATCAAATGTTCTTTTTCTAATATTTAAACTTTTTTAATTTTTCAAATTTTATGTTTTCAGATTTTTTCTTTTGATATTCAGTTCTAGGAATTACTTTGTTTTCCAATAGTTTTTCAACAGATCACATTCTCTTCGCTTCAATGCCAATACAAGCGTTTGTCTTTGACCAATGAAAATTTTTCTAACATCCATGCTAACCAATAGAAAATCATCTTTGCTCCTTCCTCCAGAGGAAAGCCCGCCCCCAGAAGTGAAGAGAATATGATCTATAAAACACAATTTGAAAATAATGGAACTCATAATTTACTCATGAGTTACTCTCAACACCTTATTTGAGATGTTTTTAAGGTTTAATTGCTGGATTGCATTCTTTTTTTATTTTATTTATTTCCATTTACAATACATTTGCTTTTTTTTGCAACAAGAATGGAATAAATTCATTCCATAGACAGAGACTCTGAGTAAAAACATTTCACAGATTTCAGACAGAAATTAAAGACAAAAAAAAGGTATGGTGAATGTATGTATCGTATGGTGCATAACTAATTTTTTGCAATCATGTTCATCATGTTTACACTGATGTTCTTTCATAACATTTATTGTCAAATTTGATTTTAATAGCATTTACTCTACGACTGGGATGAATCAATGAATCGTAATTAATCAATTATTGAAATAATCGTCAACTAATTCGGTAATCAATTCATTGTTTACCGAAATATAGATATTGTAAAATATGCCTTTAACTGGTAGAGTAAAACAATAATAATAATAATAATAATCATATTAAAGTTGAAAAAAAGATATGTAACATTTTACATTTAAAAAAAAAAATGTTTTCGTCTGTCAATATGCTCTATCCAGAACTTCTCAAGTGAAAAGTTTTAGTTTCAACTGGTTTGATTTAAAAAAAAAAATCTTCTTAAAGAACCTTTGGCTGTCAGATTATTACCGTAATGGTAAAATGATCAATATGTAAAATAATCGTTAGTTGCAGCCCTACTCTACTGTACGTACCAAAACTCCAGTCACTCCAGCATTTTACCTGGTTTCAGATTAAAACAGACAGAGGTAGTGTTTCTCTAATAACTAATGTGGGCATAAATCACTTTTGACAATACAACAATGTATATCAGTCATTTTATCAGTGGTCATTCTGCACTCAACACAAGGCTTGCCTTAGCGAATCCGTCAATTAAAATTGTAAAAAAAAAACATCCTATTCTTCATCAATGTGGTCAAATTTTTTGATAGATTGCAGTTTTACAAGGTAGGCCTTTTGCAGTATTTCCATTTGGTTTAAAGTGAATTACCCAAGGACAGCAAACTGTTTTTCAAATTTGAGGAGTTTTCTGCAATTTTAATGTTCTAATGAAGCTTATCTGACGCAATACTTTAAAATCCACATTAGAAAGAGCTGATCGAAAAAAAAATAGTGTATGGGTCACATTAAATTCTGCAGGACCTACTGAACATAAATCAGGTATGGACAGCAATAAAGGGCACCAATCCTATTTGAGCTGCTTAAATCTACCAAAAACCACAAGTGATACTAACTCAACAGAGATAAAACTCCATCAGTTCCTTTTTAAAATGTTTTTTTTTTCCTACCTTTATGCATTAAATGGTAAATTTAGGAGAAGCAATTAAAAATGATCTTTCTTTATGGTTCTCCAAACTGTTTGTGAGACAGAGGTTGGAAATATGGATAGATTTGCGTCTAAGTTCTGACTTACAGTAGCACACACTCACAGCTGGAGCCTCAAAGTGGTATCAAATATTTAAGAGAACAAACTGTGGCATTAAAAGATTTCTCTTCGCAGCATTAAGCTACAGGATCACAGTCACATAAACCTGAAACCAACTCTCCTAAGTACATTTACCACTGATGTTCCTGTTCAACCAGTAAAACATGCAACCCCTCCACCCCAGGTTCACACACAGGACAATCCAGAGGAGACTTTCAAAAGCAAAATGGTTCAACTCCTACCTGATTCCTGCAAGAAAGTCCAATAGAGTCAAAACAACTTCTGTTTAAAGGACCAAACTGAACAAACGGTACACACCCACTCAACCCCCCCCAATAAAGGGGGAAGCTAGCTGTGCAGAAATGAACGATCTGCTCCAGTGATTTCTGCTCATTTGAAACAAACTTCTAGCAGGAGTACAATTTTGAAAAGCATTCATTTGCATCAGCTGTCTCTCAAAGGGCATCATGACCCAACAGAACCTGACAATAAGCAACAGGCTTTTATTAACCTTACCCATTTGATAAACACTTATCCTTCACTTCATTAACTCACAGCACTAAACAATCTGTTTCGTATGTCACTAGATCTGCTTTTTAGAGAAAGAGAAAAACAAAAAATGTACCTTAATGTTTTTAAATTTTCTTTCAGGATCTAGTTTTATAGGGAGAGTAAGACTAACATGGTTTCCCATGATCACTATTTTTAAAAATTGCAATCACTAAATGTAAAAGTATTCTACTCTCCAAAAATCATCAAATATTCACACTTTGTTTAAGACGCCATGTTCCATTTACAGCTTTTACAGCAGAGAATATGATCAATTGCAAACATACCTGCACTAATCAGCCAACCACAACTGTAATATTTAAAATTTCATGCCACATTTTTAAAGATAACTAATATTAACTGTCAACTTATCATTAAGGCTTTTCTAAGTCATTTTATCCTGCTGTGGAGATCTCTGAAAAATAAAGCCATACATGCAATCCAAGATGGCAAAATGCTGCTGCTTAGGGCAGCCAGGCCAGCAGAGGGAGCATGTCACTTCTTAGAATATGTCAGTTCAACGGAAAAGCCTATTAAAATATCTCTCGTCCTCCTACTTTTAAATCTGCTTACAATGGTTTTTATATGAGATGTCTCCGATGTAAGAAACATATGAAAATATGCCTATATATCCCAGTCAATAAGCAGAATATACATCACAGTATTTAACACTATTCTAATTTGAAGAAGGCATTCCATTTTTTTACAGGATGTGTTTGAGCTTAACGGCAAAACTTGTCAAAGTGTACTGGGTTGGATAGTACTACAAAAAGGAATAATATTACTGCAATTACAAAAAAAATACTTGAATGGTTATATTAATCTAAAAAGATTAATTAGTGAAGAGGTTTGATTTAAACTGTTGCATGGTGGAAAGTCGGTTAATTATTAATGGGGAGCTATTATCCAATTTTTTTATGCATACCTTAAAAAAAACACACCAATAAACACATAGAGTCAAGATATTTCCAGATATTTTTAACAAAATTCAAAGTTATGCCAAAGCCTCGTGTCATTGCTTCAGAGTTAATATAAAAACATCAGTAGGGATTTCATCTACAGCCCGATTGTATACTTTTATTATCAGCGTCCATCCTCCCCTATACTCAGAACAACAGCAGACGGAATGTTAGAGAGGAAATAAAAAAGTATTTACAGCTATTTACCAATGAAATCATAAAGTAAAATCAGCCCCCCCCCCCCAAATCAGTTTCTGCTTCGGTCCCAAAACAATCTTTTCCCGGCTCTGACTCTGATCCACCTCTGTTTAACACCCCAGTCTACAGCACCCCTTGGTTGTTCAGATTAACTAAAGCAGTCACCACCCACCCACCCATGTGGCAGCCCCCTCCCAGTCATGTTAACCTCATGGCTAGGTTGCTGACTGGCATGTTTTATGACAGGAGGACCACTGTGACAGGGGTGGGACGTCTGTGGAAGGGGATCCTCCTCTGCTGACAAAGGCCAGGTTTCGGGGCCATCTGGTGCTCTTAATAGGCAGAGCCAACAGTGACCCTTCCCCAGCAGAGACTCAACCAGGACAGTCCATTGTCTGAAGCAGGGAGCCTGGCTTCAGGGTGACATCACCATCACTGCTGCTGTTCCTGCTGCAGCCGGCTCAGGTTCATCCGGTGCATCCATCTCAGAGGAAAGAAAAATCTGTTTTTATACATAATTTTCTCTAAAATATTTTTTTTTTTCTGAGTGGGTGCTTTAATATTAACGATAGCTTATTTTTTTCCCAAAATGAAAACCAGACTTCCCATCAAGCAGCACTGCAGTAACACTGCAGGGTGTCGTTGATATGTTTGGCTGCTTCTGTGTTCCTGTCTGAACCACCCACACAACACCCACTGACCACACACACCTTTACCCAGACAATCTAATGGTTTTTCCCGCAGAAAAAGAAGAAGAAAAAAAAAAAACAACTCCACCATTATTATACTGTAGAAATATTTTTTCAAAGCACAAGGTGGACATAAAAGCAAACTTTCATTTCTGATGAATGAATGGGATAGAGCTGCAGCTTTAGAAACAGCGTGGGTTTCCTATTAGGCTGGATAAAGGGGAGGTTCACACCTGCACCAGAGCAAAAGATAAAGTCCAAAAACATCCTATTGCAATGACAAACCCAACTGATTAAAGTCTATTTAACATCTGTCTATTGCAGTAAATCAGAGCAGCTTATTCCCCAGCAGCTGGAGGAGGAGGAGGAGGACTCACCTGCGCTGCAGCCGGAGTGAAGAAGGGAGGAAGGGTGTGAGAGTGAGAGAGGGAGGGGAGCTGGATGTGAGTCTATGCAGCAGGATAGCGGCACGCCGTCTCTCCTCCTGCCTTTGTCTGCTTCAGTCTGAGAGCCGAGCCTCCCCGGAACAGCCACTGGGTCCTAAAGAGCTGCGGACCCGCCCACTGTGGAAAGGAAGGTGAGCGTGGGCTGGAGTGGGTGGGATCAGGGTCATTCAAGGTATGTTCAGTTAGACCAGAACAAAACTTGCAATGAATTTGTGGTTATTTAGAGTTATGACTGAGAGATGAAAGATATGATAAAGATAAGTCTGAGCCCCCATTAGGATTTTATTCTTCATTACTATTTTAATTATCTTTGATCAGGAAAAGAAACTTTTCAAATTCCTTTTTTTTTCTTCAGATATTTGTGTACAGACAGGTTTAAAAACATTTTTAATTTGTTTCTTATGTGACAGGATATTTTAACAGACAATAAAGAAATATGAAAATCATTTATCTGTTTTTATTTAGTAATTGATGTGACTTCTCTGGAATCAATGGAACCTTTTTTCAACATTTAATGTGAGAGAAACCAGGGGCGGAGCTAGATGGGGGGCCAGGGGTGGCCATGGTGATTTTTTGGGGCGATTTCCCATTCGTGTGAGAATTTTTAGATCTGATCGTGCGTCGTAAGTCGTGTAGTGTACAGGGGGTAACGATGGCAGATCATTATCTTTCGACCACCTTCTGTTTAAGATTCAAATATGTTTGATTTTCTTCCGACTGTCCTGGGCCAATCGCTCAGTGCGCATGCACAAAGAATGCAATGAGTGAAATTGAGTTCTTTCTGTAAAATTGACAGACCGTAGTAGCCACGTTTGCTCAGTCATGTCTTTGTCCAAATACGTTGTCGCCTTTTCTTTTTAGGGCTTTCAGCACAAAATTGCACAAATTTCCAAGGCAGCGCGGTTCACTATAGTGAGTTTAACATTCCCCTTCTATTTGTTTGGCTTCAGGATAGAGAGCTACAAAGCAGCTCCATCTCATTGCGGAGCTGAGTCCAACCTGCTTTTTAGTCGTACAGTGTGAGCAGGTAGATCGCATCAGAGCATCATGCTGCACATACATTGTGAGCTGTGAACTCACACTGTACGACTAAACCCTGCGGTTTAGTCGTACAGTGTGAGCTGCAGCTGCGTGCAACGATTGAAAAAAATCGCAGTGTACGCCTGGCTTTAGCCAATCATTGGCCACCCCTATCTTTTTTTCTCTCAAGTAGAATATTCGAAACAATTTAATTTTATATACATTAAAAATGACTTCACAACAGAAACACTGTGGTTATTATGCACATCAATATACCAACATTAGAGATGATTAGTACATATTTCATGCTCTTTCAGAACTAGATTTTGGGTTATATGCCGTAAAGAGAAAATGATGTGACTCTGCAAGTCATCTAAGAGTCTTCAGTGAAATTATAGATACTGTAAATAACTATTTAAAAAAAACACTATTAAATTATCAATTTATGTTGATATTAGTACTTGTATATATCTATTTAATGCAGAATGATATTGATAAAAGTAGGAAAGTAATGACGATAGAAAAGATGTTCACTCCAGAACTCAAACCTGAAAGAATTTTATCCAATTTTATCCAATCCGTCTTTTATCTAGACGGATGTTTAAATATATGCATCTATTTGTTATGAAAGGCTGCAGGAAACTATAGTTTGTCTTGATTTAGAAATATGGGCGTTGTCCTTGTTCCTGTTGGAACAGTGAAGATTGACCCTGAGGTTCTGGAGCCTATCCACTTTCGGCCAGCCCTCAGTGTACATTGGTTATTGCCTGGTCACCCTTATAAAAATTTCTGGCTACGCATCTGAAAGAAACTGAGTCTTCAATACTCCTCAAGACATATTTACGTAGAATAGCTTTTATTTAATGAACTGCTTTCAACCCTTTTTGAAAGGTTTGGTGAACTTTTGGTTAATAGTTTAGTGATTGTCTTTTTTTTTATTTATGAAAGGTGCAATATAAAAGTGACTTTCTACTTCACCATAGGTCCATAATATTTAGTTTCCTCCACCGATTCCCAATCAGATTAAAGTCTGGACTCAAGCTGTGTTGCTCCAAAATGTTAATATATATTACAGTGTGGAGAAACATGTTGGTAAAATACACAAAAAAAACCTTTAACTTTATTTACCAAGGTTATGAGTAATTCTGGTCTGAATTTAACAAACAAAAATATAAAACAATACATGATTTTCTGGTATTCTTCCTTTATGCTCTCTACATTTGGTCTCAAATAGTTTTCATTCAACTCTGTTACCTTGACTTATCACAGCATCCCTGTTGAATTTTGCCCTTTAATATTACTACAAAACAGCAAAAATATTGTTCACAATGATAGACAATAAAACATCTGTCTCTAAAACAATGGAAAGCAAAAAAAAAAAAGCAATGTAATTTCTGAAGATCCAGATCTGATGTTTCCAGATCTGCCAGGTGGAAAACTGTCAGCTTCCTTATCATATCCAACCATCTTTGCTTCTGCATCATCCCGATCTCTCTCAGCATCACCAGTCACATAACTTATTTTAGGTTACAGGTTTTTCTGTTTTAAGATCATACTTTTGTTCTTTTATTTTATCATATTTTTTTTGCTTTGTTTTTTATACTATTTGTTTGCGATAAATGTTTCTATCTATCTATATCTATCTATCTATCTATCTATCTATCTATCTATCTATATATATCTATATATATATATATATATATATATATATATATATATATATATATATATATATATATATATATATATATTTATATTTATATTTATACAATGAAAAAGAGGTTGCATTTCTATTGTCATCTGTTTGGGGAAATCTATCTAGACTAATTATGGTTGACCAGCAGGTGCCGGTGTTCTTAAGGACAAACAGTCAAAAGAGGAGCCACAAACATCAAAAAATACTTTGAAGCTAACAGTCTTAAGATTTACCCCTCTGAACCATATTCATGAAAATATCAATGATTTTTTTTTTCTTAATTTATTTATGGATTTATGATACAGATTTTTTTTTTATTCTAACTTATCAGACTGCTGAGAAACGATGTGTCCCTTTCAGATAAAGCCACACATAGATGCATGGTTTGGTTGAGCTCTTTGTGGGGAGCACATGAAAGCTGGATTACATCATCTCCTCTGCCCATCCCTTTTCTTGTTCCCTTAAAAAGCCATTTCATTCTCACTGGTCCATGTGACTTGAGCACCATACCAGTAAAAGCATGTGAAGAACCTCAAAGTTGTTCCTGGTACACAATCTGCCCACTTTCTTATTGTTGCTTTTCAAAAGTGATCTGTAGTTTAAAAAAAAAAATCCCATCACTCCCCTTAGACCTTATTGTGTCCTGTGTTTGGTTAGATTATGTTTGCATGCAGGGATGACAAGAGTGAGAACATTTTAATGATGGGAAGATCAGCCGGTTCTATAATGTAAGCTGTGATTTTTAGTTTTTTTTATCATTATATGCAAGGGTTCGTACAAAAGATGCATCAAAGTAATCTGCAAGATATCAACAAAGGTAGCCACATGAAACAACGAGGCAGCACCCTTTGCAATCATTGGAAATTCTGATAAAGATGTGTAAAAAAAAAAACATAAAACAAATTACTGCAGCATGAAAAAATAGAAAGGTTAATTGTTTCTAAAAACAAACATTACAATACGACATGTATTTCTGCAGTATAATATTTGTATAAAGTAAATATTACTGAAGGATTTTTTTTGCCTTATATATTCAAGTTCCAGAACATTTAAGAATTTTGACTGATCTTTTTCCACAGGGTCTGTGTAAGATGGGACACAAAGGCCCTTACTTTACAATGGGAAAGATGAAAGATCCTTTAATTCAGCAAAGGTTCTGTAGGTGTGTTTTGATCTTTATAAGAATGACTATGAGAAATTAGCCTGTTTGCTAAACACAACCATAACTACAGTAAATGGTTAGAAAAGAGTAATACATTTAGAATTATGCTTGACTCATCCACTGTGCCCATCACACTGCCCCCTACAGCCTAGGAGAATATTGGCTACTGCACAGAAAAGTGCAAAAACTGCAAAAGTTGTCAGTTTGATTTAGTGTATCACATGCATTTTCCACATGCATCTTGTTAGTTTGGTTCGCCTTGAAACAAAAAACGAATACATGAAAAAAGTCTTTGTTTTATGCATTTTATGCTACGTGTGGAACAGAAATTTTTGGATACAAATCTTGTGGCTATGCAGGACATACACTATATTGCCAAAAGTATTTGCTCACCCATCCAAATTATTGGAATCAGGTGTTCCAATCACTTCCATGGCCACAGGTGTATAAATTCAAGCACCTAGGCATGCAGACTGTTTTTACAAACATTTGTGAAAGAATGGGTCGCTCTCAGGAGCTCAGTGAATTCCAGCGTGGAACTGTGATAGGATGCCACCTGTGCAACAAATCCAGTCGTGAAATTTCCTCGCTCCTAAATATTCCACAGTCAACTGTCAGCTGTATTATAAGAAAATGGAAGTGTTTGGGAACGACAGCAACTCAGCCACGAAGTGGTAGGCCACGTAAACTGACGGAGCGGGGTCAGCGGATGCTGACGCGCATAGTGCGAAGAGGTCGCCAACTTTCTGCAGAGTCAATCACTACAGACCTCCAAACTTCATGTGGCCTTCAGATTAGCTCAAGAACAGTGCGCAGAGAGCTTCATGGAATGGGTTTCCATGGTCGAGCAGCTGCATCCAAGCCATACATCACCAAGTGCAATGCAAAGCGTCGGATGCGGTGGTGTAAAGCACGCCGCCACTGGACTCTAGAGCAGTGGAGACGCGTTCTCTGGAGTGACGAATCGCGCTTCTCCATCTGGCAATCTGATGGACGGGTCTGGGTTTGGCGGTTGCCAGGAGAACGGTACTTGTCTGACTGCATTGTGCCAAGTGTAAAGTTTGGTGGAGGGGGGATTATGGTGTGGGGTTGTTTTTCAGGAGCTGGGCTTGGCCCCTTAGTTCCAGTGAAAGGAACTCTGAATGCTTCAGCATACCAAGACATTTTGGACAATTCCATGCTCCCAACTTTGTGGGAACAGTTTGGAGCTGGCCCCTTCCTCTTCCAACATGACTGTGCACCAGTGCACAAAGCAAGGTCCATAAAGACATGGATGACAGAGTCTGGTGTGGATGAACTTGACTGGCCTGCACAGAGTCCTGACCTCAACCCGATAGAACACCTTTGGGATGAATTAGAGCGGAGACTGAGAGCCAGGCCTTCTCGTCCAACATCAGTGTGCAACCTCACAAATGCGCTTCTGGAAGAATGGTCAAAAATTCCCATAAACAAACTCCTAAACCTTGTGGACAGCCTTCCCAGAAGAGTTGAAGCTGTTCTAGCTGCAAAGGGTGGACCGATGTCATATTGAACCCTATGGATTAGGAACGGGATGTCACTTAAGCTCATATGTGAGTCAAGGCAGGTGAGCAAATACTTTTGGCAATATAGTGTATGTCCTCATCGTTTCTTTCACTAGGAAAAATTTCCAAAAAATATGGCTTTATGAACAAAGTTATGGCAAAATTAATATTCTGACATTGCAAATGCAGTCATTTGACCTAAATCCAATAGCTAACCTAAAAAAGGAAAACCTGGATATTCCATAGGAATAGCTTACAGTTTAGAAACCCATCTCTGCTCAACTTAGATGCAGTTGGATTTGTTCAGAGCAAATTTTGAATAAAGAAAAAAAAACGAAAAAAAATCTTCTAATGAGGCTATATTTCTTTCATATTTTACACTATGGGAACCCTCATACAGCTATGCTCTGATAAGAAAAGGAAAGAAGAAGAAGCGGGCTAGCAGCTCTGTGTGTGAGCTCCACTGTCAGAGTCACGCAAGAGAAGAAAGGTGAGATGTTTTCCTTTGAGCTCTTGCCTCATATGGGTTGAAATGGGGCTAGAATTGCAAAACAGAGCCGAGCAAATGAAAACAAATGAACCCTTCTGTTGTGAAAGTTATTACATTTAAATGACTTCTTGGCCTTAAAGCAGCTCAATAGTGTAAGGCTGGGTTTCACCAAATTAAGTTTTCTCCTCAAAACTTTTTTTTCATTCTGCTTGTTCTGTGGAATATATATATTAATATACTGTTTGGATGAAAATAAACATGTAGAACATTAACATTACATGTAAATTAGATATATGCTACCTATTAACTTTTAATGAACTTCTCTTGATAGAAATTGATTTATTATTTTGAGTATTTATCTCATAAAACATACAAAAAGTGTAATAAATCTTGGTGAATTGAAACAGAAACTATAGATCTTTACATTCTCCCAGATTGTGCTTCAATCAGAATTCCTCTTTTCCTCTTAAAAGATCAATTTTTTTTTAACTGTATGTTTTAAACATTTATTTTCATTATCCTTTAGATTTGCTACCAGGGTGGAAAGAGGTTTTATTATGGATTAATGAAAGTCAGTCTGATATGTATCATGTTAATCACCATCATTAATTAACCTTTCTTCTTTTACATGACTCTGACTTGCAGCTTTGCAAAGAGACGACAGAAGACGTAGACTCTGCACGGTGGACTGGGGTCTCTTTGTCATCATCTGCTCTCCCCTCAGGCAGAAAAGCTTTACTTTATAACTCAGCTGTTGTCACATTCTGGAGCCTCTCCTTTGCATGTCACACATAACTCTAATTCACTCTGATCATTGGCTGCTACACACCTCCCTCTGTGAGATGAACCTCTACAGAAGAGCGAAGCACAAGCAGAGTTTACAGGGTTGTGTGCAAATGGGGGAAGAGGCGAAGACGTTGTTATTTTTGCTCTTAGCTGGGCTTTTTGTTTAATGGAGACCCCCTAGAAGGGAACAAAAAAGATCAGGATTATCCAGAATCTGGTCATACAGTATGATTCTTTATTAAATGTTGAACTTTGCTGGCTGGAGGTGCAGCCTGTTGGTTTTACTGCTTCATATTCAAGAGGTTGAATCATCACTGCTGACTAATGATTTTGCCTTTAGCTGCTAAATCACAGGGTGACTGGCTCCCATGAAGTTGTTCTAGTTGAACAGTTGAACTTTACCATAATACTCAGCCAAATATTATTTTCTTAGCTGTGGTCATCCCTCACGCAATAGGCTATGATCTGGAGGATGAACTTTACAGTACATATAACTATATACAGTAAGAAGGGAGCATCACTAATCGAAAGCGGAAGAAAGAATGGCAGAAAAGGGAGACGGGGAAAAAACACAATGGTTTTCTAGGGAAAAAAAACAAAGGGTGAAAGTATAATTGGAAAAAAGAAACAGGAAGGAGGAAAGATTAACTAGACTATGACTTAAAGCTGCACTTTTATACAAGCAAAAGCAAAGCATAAGCATAATACAGATAAGTCTTACCTCCATTGTGCCTAACATAATTCTAAATGTTTCTAAAATTCAATTGCAAATGGTTGTTTGAGAAACAAATTCACTGCCATGCCCCTGAGATAGCCTTGGCTTGTCTCCTCCTATAGGTCCATTTACATGGACATAAGAAATTAAGATAAACAACAGATTAAACTAGACAGCTGGTTTATGCTGACTGACAATCCAATCAGTGTGCATGTAAAGGTGTCGGTATCAAGTTGTTCTGAATAAAGCAAGCTGATGACCTTTGAGTACTTTGATATGATCTTAATACTCAGATCGGCATGTTTACATGATACTTATTCATTTTACATCTAGCATTTTATTCAAGTTACTTATGTCCATGTAAACAGTACGACCCTGAGCTTTATGATGTTCAATTCAAATACATTTCTATGGCATCAGTATTCTGCCAAAAATCCAATAATGCACAATAAATACTCCTTCAAACCTTTTTACCTCATACAGATCCTCATAAACTACTCCTCAAGCATGTTTAACACGTGTAAATCTATTACCACTGGGCCCCAGCATACATTCTGTGCACTTGTGTCAACTTTGGTCACTTGGAAGGCATTACACGTCAGAAAAAGCAACCCGCTTGTGATTGACTACTTTTCAGGAAACCCCAAATCTTAAGTTGTGACCTGTTGACCATGAACCAGCGTGAACTGTCCTCCAGTTTCCAGCTAATATTTGTGCTAGCAGAAACTATCATGCTATTTTGCCCAAACTTTTTTTGTACATAAGTATGGATGTAGAAAACACTTATGGAGAAAGTAAAAACTGCAACTAAAACAAATAATGTAAGAAACATTTGCTATGTAGATAAAATTGTCCAGTTGTCCACCTATTGAGCCTGTTGAAACCTATTATGTGAACCAAGGATATGTGAATGTGCTCCTTTGTGTACCCAGGATAAAGAAGTTTAAAGTAGTTCTGAATGTAAAAAAGAAAATCTATATTTTATGCCTCCCCTTTTGTCTCCCAACACTTGCACTGTGATCAGTTTGCATTTCAGGACAGAGCTTCCTGATGAGCTCATCCAACAGCTTCCTGTCAGATGCAGATCCAACAAACCCCACAAAAAGATGGCTCCCTCAGTTGTTTAAGAATGAGACACAACTATGCACTAGGACAAAAGTAATTTAAAAAAAATGCTAAAAACACAAATAATTACACAGACTTGCCTTTAAAGACAAAATGCAACATTATTTTCAACTGAAACGCAACTATGTAAGTATTGGTACCTTAAACTAAAATAAACTAATGATCAATAAAACTTCAAACTTATTAATCAATTAATAAATAAAACAGATGTTGGACTGAATCAAAAGTGTCCTGATTCAACAAGAAAAAGTGGGATTTTATTCAGACCAAATCAGTTCCTTCCCTTTTATCTCCTAAGGCGTTTTTTCCTGAAAAAAAATAAAAAGCAAAACAACTAAATGCAATGCTTTAGGATTAGCAGGCTACAACTACAGTGCCCCAAGTTTTTAAAGACAACATAGCTGATTTTTTTCTTTAGTTTGACTCTATGATCCTCATCTAAAGAGCATGATTCAAGGAGGTGCTTTACTGACATTGATTTTATACATGTGCAGTTATCTGTAGATCAAACGTTCCTTATCTGTGCTGCTCGCCTCTTTGGGCCAAAGCTGCATCAGGTGGGCTGCATGCAGGATAAGCATAAGTGGTTCACAGCTGGTGTCGGGGGAAACACCAGAGAAGGGTGGGGAGTGCTGGACAGCAAGGGGAGGGCTGGTGGTAGAGATACTGAGCTGAGGGGGGGGTTGCAGCCATGGCGACTGATGGAGGAGGAAATAAACAGATGTCCACAAGCTGGCAGCCAGGCTGAAAGTGGCCTAGCCGTTGAGAGACAGGTGGACGTCCAGAAACACAGCGGGACTGCAGAGTGGCTGCGAAGCCAAGTGTATATGCCCATTTACAACAGTAACAGCAACATTTCTCATAAATAAATCTGTCACTGTTTCTTTGGAGAAAATACCATAAACAAAATTTATATTTGGTTCATCTTCATCGGAGGGAGGGATAGAATTGCAAGATCATCTGGGGTGTGTGTGGTGTTTATTTCATCGAGAAAAGTCAATATTTTTAAAGCAAGAAAAGTAAATATTTTTAAAGCAAAAGTTTTATTATAGTTTGAATTGTTTTACTTTTTCAGATACAAATTGTTGTAATTTTGTGAGTTATTCATAAAAGAGCATTTTTTCTAAAAATAAAAATATGTGTTGGGCAGATTTGTATTCATTGTTCATTTAATCAATCAATGATTGATTGACTTTATGATCTCAGAGTGGAGAAATGTACTCGTTATTATAATGTCACTAATCCATTAAGTCCACAATGTGTGCATTCGAATTGGAATATAAATATATTTCCTGTCATTTTAGTCTCATTTCTAGGTTTTGATCAGCTCTGCTGTTCATCTTCTCACACAACTCCAGCATTTTATCAGGTCTGGACCAGGAAAAGTCACAAGTTGAGATTTAAGATTTATAGGGACAAATTTTAATCCCCTGTAAGCTGCTTAATCTGAGTGCAGTTAGACAAGGAGACTCAAAGTCGCCGTTGCTCTGGAGGAGATGTCAACATGACCCTGGGCAAAGCACTTCAAAAACAGCTGCTGTGAAATTTTTTGTTGGACAGGAGCAAAAGAAAAAATAATTCTGGCGATGAAATCCATAAGCCATTGAAAACAGTAATACAATTGGACCCTAATTAATGGTTTATGTGTATCAAAATCACATGCAAAATTGATAGCATGAGCAAAGCTGATATGCTAACCAGGTTCAAATTAAATTCTTTTAAAAATGAGGAACAGCAGCCACACATTTTTACATGTTTGCCTACTAGTATATGCAAACAATGCAAACTAGTATATGTAGGACATATGCTTCAAACCATAAGATGAAAGATTTAGCGTTTATAATTGTTCTAATCTTTAAACAGCAAAATTTTATATTTTCTCATGTTTTTAGTTTCTCAATGTTTTACTGTGACATTAATATTAACCAAATATAAAAACTATTATAATAGCAGTCCAAAATGTTTACCAAAATGAACTGTATTGAAAATATGAAGAGAAAACTAACTTTAAGCTTGTCTCATTGTTTTAAACTTATATATAACTTATATATATATATATATATATATATATATATATATATATATATATATATATATATATATATATATATATATATATATATATATATATATATATATATATATATATATATATATATATATATATATATATACAGGTGCTGGTCATAAAATTAGAATATCATGAAAAAGTAGATTGATTTCAGTAATTCCATTTAAAAAGTGAAACTTGTATATTATATTCATACATTACATACAAACTCATATATTTCAGATGTTTATTTTGTTTAATTTTGATGATTACAAATGACAACAAATGAAAATCTCAAATTCATCATATCAGAAAATTAGAATATTGTGAAAAGGTTCAAAATTGATGGCCCCTGGTGCCACACTCTAATCAGCTAATTAACTCAAACCACCTGCAAAAGCCTTTAAATGGTCTTTCAGTCTAGTTCTATAGGCTACACAATCATGGGGAAGACTGCTGACTTGACAGTTGTCCAAAAGACGACCATCGACACCTTGCACAAGGAGGGCAAGACACAAAAGGTCATCGCTAAAGAGGCTGGCTGTTCACAGAGCTCAGTGTCCAAGCACATTAATAGAGAGGCGAAGGGAAGGAAAAGATGTGGTCGAAAAAAGTGTACAAGCAAGAGAGATAACCGCACCCTGGAGAGGATTGTGAAACAAAACCCATTCAAAAATGTGGGGGAGATTCACAAAGAGTGGACTGCAGCTGGAGTGAGTGCTTCAAGAACCACCACACACAGACGTATGAAAGACATGGGTTTCTGCTGTCGCATTCCTTGTGTCAAGCCACTCTTGAACCACAGACAGCGTCAGAAGCGTCTTGCCTGGGCTAAAGAGAAACAGGACTGGACTGCTGGTGAGTGGTCCAAAGTCATGTTCTCTGATGAAAGTAAATTTTGCATTTCCTTTGGAAATCAAGGTCCCAGAGTCTGGAGGAAAAGAAGAGAGGCACTTCATCCACGTTGCTTGAAGTCCAGTGTAAAGTTTCCACAGTCAGTGATGGTTTGGGGTGCCATGTCATCTGCTGGTGTTGGTCCATTGTGTTTTCTGAGGTCCAGGGTCAACGCAGCCACATACCAGGAAGTTTTAGAGCACTTCATGCTTCCTGCAGCTGACCAACTTTTTGGAGATGCAGATTTCATTTTCCAACAGGACTTGGCACCTGCACACAGTGCCAAAGCTACCAGTACCTGGTTGAAGGACCATGGTATCCCTGTTCTTAATTGGCCAGCAAACTCTCCTGACCTTAACCCCATACAAAATCTATGGGGTATTGTGAAGAAGAAGATGCAATACACCAGACCCAACAATTCAGAAGAGCTAAAAGCCACTATTAGAGCAACCTGGGCTATCATAACACCTGAGCAGTGCCACAGACTGATCGACTCCATGCCACGCCGCATTGCTGCAGTAATACAGGCCAAAGGAGGCCCAACTAAATACTGAGTGCTGTACATGCTCATACTTTTCATGTTCATACTTTTCAGTTGGCCAACATTTCTATAAATCCTTTGTTTTTATTGGTCTTCAGTAATATTCTAATTTTCTGATATGATGAATTTGAGATTTTCATTTGTTGT